ACCCCCGCGACGATTATTATTCGGAAACCGGCCCATTCGCCAGGCTAATCGAAATCACGGGCGCCATTAAATCGCCGTGGACCGCGCCCTTTAATCGTTGCCTGACAACGTTACGGGCCCGATTTGTCATCCACGAAATTGAGTCGCATCTGCCCCTGGTCCCGTACACACGTCCGGCCCGTTCTGCTTCCGAGCTGACAAAGCGGAACCGGAGGAGTGTGCGTGCCACAATTCGTTTCTCTCTCCCTCTCCCTCTCTTTCTCACTCTCTCTCGCCTCGAGGACAATATAATGCCAGCCGGCGAATATATACGGGCACGGACCATTAATATATGGCCGCGGGGGCCATTGTTGCGAATTAGGTAGCATTGAGCGACCTATTGTCGACGACAACCGGGGGCGCCGAGCTGTGCGCTTCATTCACTGCGTTTTGATGAAGTCCCATGGACTTCGTATATGTATACCTCTTTTGTGAGACTCGTCTTTGCGCACGAATCGTGTTCCTCGACCCTTTAACGTTTTGTCTTACGATTTTTTTAATTGATACAACGTTAAGTAAGACGTTACCATGTGGTATAGGTTATGGACGAGGAATTATAAAAATTAGTTCTGTTTGTAATTCGATTTATTTATAAGTATTGGTTTTTGGAGGTTATGGACGAAGCAGTTTTATTTTTCTTTAGTTATATGTTGAATTTTGTTATGTTTGTTCGATGAAATGGGAGGTTATTACTGTTCGAAAGAGTTAGAAGTGTATTAAGGGTTGTTAGGGGTGGTTTGAATTTGAAATGGAACTGCAGGCGGCATCTATTGGAGAATATAAAAATTTAAGGCACACCAATTTGGGGTGAAACTGTTTTACCAGCAGTCGCTGTTTTTTCTACTATTAAGTTTGTCCCAAAAGCGCGAAATATTTTAATAAAGAAATACGGAAGTGAAGAGCATTTTTTCATAAAATGTAGAAGTATGTTTAAAATATTCATCCAAATTTTAATATAAATTTCTACACGCGCTTACGAGAAGACTTAATATTACCATCAGAGGATAATGCAGTTCCCTGCAACACCAATTTGAATTACCAATTCTTTAAAAAGCATAAAAGAAAATAAAAGAAGGTAAAGAATCGCGGTAGTTCGTCAAAAAATATTTTAACACAAGTCCATTAAGGTTTGTAAAAAAAAAAAAAAACTATCGCGATAAAAAAAAACACGCAGGCAGATGAATTCGTATTTTTAGAAACAGTCTCGCTTTAATTGTACAAGTACGTAAAATTCGTGTGTGTGTGAATGTATGATGCAATGGTGACAAGTGTAGAGCGCAGTCAAGACTATCGATGCATAACGCTTAGGCTTCAGTGTTTCTTTGAACGTTCATTCTCGAATTTTGGTAATAATTTTCTTCTCTGTGTCTCGAATCATTTAGTTCCCTTCCGCGTATCGTGTGTGGAACTTGTTCAGAATGGATCGCAATTTGATCGTGAATGTTTCGACGTCTACTTCGTTCCCGTAACGTACGTTCGGTCTTTTTCAACGCGAATCGCTCCCGTACGTTTTCTATGGGCATGATCCTCTCGGCAGATCAGAGAACCTTGTTCCTCAGACGTCCCAAACCCTCTATCTCCGTCTCTAACACGTCTCCACGCTGAAAACAAAAGCGAGAAACAAACGGTAAATCCAAACACAAACTGGCCACAGTACGGCCTGGACTTTTGTTTTGGTTACCTGTAAAAATTCCGGAGGTTTACGAGTGAATCCCACGCCAGCTGGCGTGCCTGTTAGAATCACGTCTCCCGGTAACAGGGTCATAAATCTGTAAAGTAAGATTACGTAATCACCAGTGGTATTCTGAGTTTCTTGAAGAAAAAAAAAAAGCGCAAACACTGGATGGAACAATGAGGTTAGGAAGCCTTGAATGTTATAATGGTGCAGTATTGTCAAGAACAATGCACGGCTGTAAGAGTAATCTTAACGTACTGTGAAATATAAGCAACGATTTCATGGGGTTTAAAGATCAACTCGCAGGTGTTGCCATTTTGCTTCAGGTTACCGTTCACCCACGATTTCACGGGCAGATTATTGATATCGCATATAGCTTCCTTGGTGACGACAGCCGGTCCCAATGGACAGAACGTGTCCATGGCTTTGCCCAGGAGAAATTGTCCGCCATTTCTCTTCGATTTCTGCCAATCTCGTGCGGTGATGTCTTGCGCCACTGTGTAACCGAAAATACAGTCCTCTGTCTCGTCGTTGTTCAACGCCTTGCACTTTTTGCCGATTACTATCGCGAGCTCAGCTTCCCAATCGACTTTCTATCGGAAATAATCAAAAGAGAAGCAGCTGATGAATATAGGAACATCGTAAACATCGGTATTGTAGATAACAACATCACGGTATTTACAGATAATTGCTAATGATGATTACACAGATAGAAACCGATATTTCTTTTACGTAATAGACTTGTTGAAAACTTTCTGATCGCCTATCTATTATGCAATCGGTGATTTTTATCGTTCTCACTCGTTCTTTTCTGCGAAACTTTCTAATATCGAGTCTAAATATTTATTCCAGAGTAACGACGGAACCATTTAGGTTATCTTATAGACACGGTAGCCATATTCGTGTATTAGTTAGTTCTAGCTTGGTCGGTAAAGTAGATAACTATTTGAAAAACACGATTCGAATCTGTTCGATTTACTCATCGATCGACAGACCGGTTCTTTTTCTCTTTACGACGTCTATCGTTCTATAATTAGCTGGAAAGTCCGTTTAACTCGTTACATAATTGTCTGGACTAAATATAGAGACGGTCACGGCTAAGCAGTAGGAGATAGAGAACTCCACTGATGCCAACATGTTTTCTCGTGATCGTTCTTGAACTTACGTCGGAAATCGGCGGGAGCATGATGTTGTCACGGGGCCCAATGATATTACTGGGGAATTTACTGAAAACTACCGGACTTTCAGGCGGTGAGACTCCTTGCTCCTCGCAATGACCGCTGTAGTTCAAACCGATGCAGGCTAGTTTGTCCATACGTGTCACTGGCGCCAAAAAATTCACCTCTGCTTCCGGTATCACGCTACGCCCTTCTGCCACTATTCTGTAATTGTTCTGCTGACGTTAGACATACTTCCTCCATTTTTTTAATGGCAGAGTTGGAACGTATTTAAATGAATTTTCATTCTTTTTATTTGTGAATTTTTCCACAATAAATTTGCAAACAACAAATACTGAATTTTAAAATTTTTTTAAAAGAGTATTTGTTTTATTTGAAGAAAATATTTGTATCTAATAAAAAAATGAAAAGTAGATTTAATATGTACTAAAAAAATATTAGTATAATTCCTTAATATTAAAAAATTTCAAAAAATGTCTTGATATTAAGAAATTACTGTAACAAAAGTGCAATAGGGTATCTCGTCGGGTTTCATTCGCCACGCACTATTCCAATAATATTTTTCCCAACTCTGCCAGTCCATAATTAACTTTAAACTCCACTCGTCTATCAATATGCACTATCTACACCTGCAACAACAATGTTCATAAAAAAACGTCAAACAACTCTTAAGGTGGCTGTAACAATGGGTTAGTATGATATGCAAATATCGGCTTGCACAATGCAAGAGCGGAAATTATTAAATTCAGTAGTTCCTCTTTGGAAGATTGGTTTCATTAGTCGAAGGAAAGATTGCAATTGGAAAAATACAAATGCCAGCTGGCGAGCTAAACTGGATAACTGATAACGCACGATTTCACACATTTCCCAGTAAAAATCATTTTTACGACGACTTGTTCCGACGAATGTAACATCTACTTCTACGATTTGTTATGTAAAATTACATAATTCAAGCGTAATCTATCATTGTACGTAACCGTACATCAAATGATACTCGATTATCTTACAATAATTACCGCATCGTTGAGAAAATGATACAAGAAATTTCTTCAAGAAATTAATTCGCTATTCACGAGGAAAGAGATATCTCTGAGGAAATAAAAAATAGAAATACGAAATGTAAGAAATTACAAAAGAAATTTTTGTTTTTGTTGACAATCTTTACAATTGAAAAGAGAATTTCATTCAGAGACATCAACGTTTCCACGAAAATTCTTCAGTTGGCTCAGAGCTTGCAAGCTCGCCAATTGGCACACAAACAAACGCCAGCATTTTAAATTAATAAAAACAATATTATGCTCGACGCAAAATCCATGTCACGATCGTCGATAATTTCGTGTACAGAATAATTCATGAGGTTCAGTTATGGTGGGGGGATTCCTTAAGGATTTTCGATGGTGAACACCATGCAAGTGGTGTGTTTTTTGAATACAAAGTGTGATTATGTGTTATCAGTTGTATCATATATTTTCCTTTCGCTGGAGAAAGTATGTTTATTTATATAACGATTATGTTAATTACTGTTTTCGATATTTTCATCCTTATATAATTCATGACGTCAAAAAACAAATTTCGTTGCAATAATAGCGCATGACTAGCTCGACATGGAGTTTCTTTTTTTTATCATTCTAAATTGATACAACCACGGTTATCGGAACAAAGAAAACAAAGTGCTAACCCAAATAGGCGGCATATCTTGAGTGATGCTTATCATAAGTATTTTCTTTTGAATGGTTTCTATTACCTACTACAAACAATCGATCATCGAAATACGAGTATTTTATGAATTGTTTTTCAAACTCACTTCGATTACACTACTTCGTTGTACAAACATAAACTATCACAACTTATCAACCATTGGACACTTCAAAGTTTAATAAAAAAGAGAAATGAAAAATCTATACAAAAATCAATGATTATAAAAAACGAAAATTGCTCGAAATGAGACGATTAAGAAGTTTCGTAATGAGAGAAATATTCCAATAAACAAACGTTATTAAAATTATGAAAAAAATTCCTTTCAGCTATTCCCATTCTAAACTTCCTTCCTCAACTTTACATTTCCATCTGTAACACGAGAGTTTAACAGGTATGCACCTGTATCTGTTCAAACAATAATCGTTTGCAATAAAAAAAAAGGGCTCGGTTCCCTCGAGAGCAGGCCAATTAGCGATCACGAGGGAACAAGTCTTCCAAACGTCCGGTTTACAGAGCCAAGACACGCCTGATAGAGTAAACGGTAACGTAGCGGGGATCTGAGGCGAACGCTGATCGAAAATGACGCTTTCACCGCGGGAGATTGTCTACGAGTTATACTCGAGGCGTTTATGCGAAATATCGATTGTATAAAAGCTCGTTAGAACAAGCGAATCACTATGACAGCCACTTCTGATGCAACGAGAACTGTTCGACTGTATCAGAATCAGCTTCTGAGTGTAGTTTAAGTGTGTGCATGAACAATAGGGATTTGTTCAGATGTACACGATGAAAAGAGTACAGAGACAATGGATTAATAGTAGTTCAGAGAAGCTTGATTTAAGGGGATCAAAGGAGCTGCACAAAGAGTCGTTTTCACACTGAATTCTTTGGATGCCACGAACCTCTCTACCATGGTCAACAGGTCGACTTCGTCTTCCCTGGGAACAAAATGGTGAACCGTGAAATTCATTGATAGAAAAATCGTGCTAAGTGTCCTTACAGTCACTCATTGAAATCTCTCTGTCTTCTACTTACTTCATTTTACAATAAGAATTTAACTTTTTCCTTAGGAATAACTTATATATCTGTTAAATTTTTCACTTTTAATTAAATCATTTTTTTTTACTATAAGCCAAATTATTTGCAACACTTCACGCTCTTCATTTCCATTCACTCCAATCTTCATTTTGTCATTCATCCCATTCCACTAGCATAATTCCAATCTTCAAATAGCACACGAGGACTTCACAGCATCTCAGACTCTCTAATCAAGATCAATCAATTATTCACTCTTCTCGTTCGTTCCAATACAGCTAAGCCTCTCCTATAATTAAATTTCGCTGATTATCGTGTTTCACAAGAGGATATTTATTTTGTTCTTTTTTTATATTTGCATCATTCGCTAATCAGCGGGCCAGTAGCGCGATAACACGCGATAACGAGCGGCTTATCGTCGCTCTGGCCCCCCAATTGGCGTCCTTAGACTGCCTCACACCACGCCTACCTTTTCGCCTTCTTCAGAAGGTCGTCGCCACCCTCGAGGAATTTCTTCAGCGTATTCGGGATCCGCGAGTCGACCGCGGACACGGCGATCACGTCGCCTCCTTGCACCAGCTGCACCCCCAGGTGTTGTGGCCCACCATTTTTACCCGTGAATTGTACGAACCTGCGACAAATGAATGATAAAATTACCCATGATGTATCTTCGCAATAGATTCATTAAAATTGTGAATTTATTTAAACAATAAGTAAAGATAACCTAAAAATTTTTACATAAGTTGTGCATGATCTAAGAATTTTTACATAACTTTTACGTAATTTATACGTAACCTAAAAATTTTTAGGTTATCTTTATTTATCTTTTAAATAAATTCGCTATTTTGCACCTAAAATTTTTTAGGTTATCTAAAAATTTTCGTCAATATTTCTCATGAAAATTCCAAAAGCTTTCTTTCATCAGAGTTTTTCCTAATACGGAGGTGTCATTATTTGCTTTTAATACCGATAATTCGTGTTATAATAGCGAAACTGAAATTGGAGATGTCGAAGGTCATGCTAAAAAAAGTTCAATAACATGGACAAGATGGCATGTTTGACGTGTCTTCGAAACAAGATTGAAAGGTTAAACAGAACGATAAATGACGTAGGAGGGATGGTGAAATTGATGGATCATAGGGATTTTATAAAATTGATTGCATAAAAATATTAGTTCTATCATGATAGGTTATCTGAATTTATTGGGAAGTGAAGTTCAAGATCGCGACGATAAATTCATTCATTACTTATACGTCAAGTTAACTTGATCCTCTAAATAAGACGAAGTAAATGCGATTGTAGTCAGAGGCGTTTCTCTTTGAAAGTACTTCGAGGAAATCTACATGTAAAAGTTAAATGAAAAGAAAGGCAAAGATACGGTTTGCTATTTTAGATCAAGCTTGCAAAACAAGTCCTGACTGTTATTCGAGGAATTAATTGAACAGAAAAAATTATAGAGAAATTCCATGCTTGATGCTTAACTTTCATCGAGCCATTGGTATTTCAATGAATTTTATTTCACTTGTAATAAGTTTATATAATTTGATAAATTTCAATTTTGCGAACACGATCCTCGGTTATATGCTAAAAAGAACATTTTTCCCTCTTTGCAATTCTTGCAAGTATTGCAACATTATTATTCACGGTGCGCGCCGCCTCGTCGAGTTGAACAGGTTTCCGTGAAAGCAAAGACGAATTCACCTCTTGTATGCACTTACTCGTGGCCAAATAAAACATGGAGACCTCAAGGCTGGTCGTTATTATACTGAATGCGTGCACATCGGTGGTGCACGATCGTTCGAAAAATATCGCCGATCGATACTCTTCGATGGCTCGATAAAAGGCGTGTCTATGGGACATTTATGAATTCGAACCAAGTACATACCAATTCTGGTATCTTAATCAAACTTCTTTATATCACCGTAAAATTGCGACGAACAAAACGAAACGGGCAATTCTGAGAAATAACGAGGATAAATTTTCAAGCATTTACATTTATTCGACTTGTAACGATAATGTGTTGGAAGTATCTAAGAGTAGTGTGATATGCGTATAAATTATCACGAATGACGGTACCTAAACGAATATTTTTATTTACTGACGTTTTAATGCTGATGCTTTGAAACATGGTCAGAAAAAGACCGATAAACGCACAGTAAAAGGACAAATAAATAGTTGAGATAATAAATGTAGAAAACAAAAAATGTTATCGTATAAAGTAATAATAACAATGTTGCGAAAAAGAACAATGGAAAATTTGAATACATTATATGCGTGAGTTTGCAATTAATTACATGCACAGGTAACATCTGTCTTAACTTCAGTTGGCATAATATGCTTTGTGCTTATCGGTTTCGGTCAACAAACTAATCTTTGCGTTACGGTCTGGAACAAAACTGGGAAACGATCTCTGGCTATTCTGACAGGAAATGACTGGTAATCATGGGGAATTTAACAAAGTTAAATTTAACGAATTTAGCGTAGTCAATCGAATGCAGTACGCTTTTAGAATAGCAGAACGATCGAGATCGAAAATAACAAGTTGTAACAGAAAAGTCATTTCCAAACATCTGGACGAAATTATTGGCGACTTTGCTGCCACCTGTGTTGTGTCGAATGTGAATTTATACGAGATTAATGTTAGTTAGTAAAAAAAAATCGCAAAAGTAAATGTTCTACAGAAAATTGTGAATAAACGTGTCTGTAAAATATTTGCCAAAGTAGCCAGGACTGGTTTGCTCGAGTAATATTACGTCGTATACTTAAGAGATAAGTAGAGAGGACTTATTAGTGTCAGACACTAATCGTAATTAGCGATAGGTTCATAGTTAATATATAACATTTATGACTATTTTATTTATGCACATCTACACTCTATACAACATATTTACATAATATTACAATAATTATATATGATATTTAAATTTAGACTTGGAATGTTTTACGAGCATGTTAAATTCTGAATCTGAAAGAGTGGAATGTCTGAAAAAGTATCTTGAGAGCAAAACACGTAAGGTATAACAGTAGTGCTACGCCTCTTTTAATACTAGTCACTATGAAGATTTCAGTGTATTTTTAAAAACAGTTATAAAAAATACCTCGCATTTATGTTAATAAACGCCCCCTTGACCGGTGCATTTGCACGCGGCTACGTTCAGCACGAACAGCAACTTGCAAAAGCGTGTAAATTCAGGCCTGTTCAGTGTCAGGGCATAATTATATTTAATCAAATGTATTCGCGTGTTTGAATCGAATTAATCAATTGATCGAATTTCCCACAAAACTATCGTTCCACTTGGTGAATCGACCGCATGCAATTAGTTGTGAACGACACTCTATTGATAGGTAATCGATACCAAGATGTTCATCGAAACATGAAAACGCGTCTGGAGTTAATCTCATAAACGTAGTATGTATTGTGAACCCTCTTCTACACGGTTATTACTCCTTGTTTTTGGAACACTGTCTTCTCCCAGACGGTATTCAAAGCATTACATACTTCGTGATAATTCACTGCAGTGTAGTTCCTGAAATTTGGCACACTTGCTTGTACTAAACACGCCGTCGAATCGAAGCAAACCGTGTCCCTTTACGTCGCGAAATTGCGATCGAAGGAGCATGCACTTAACCGTGTCTGTTAACAGAACGAGCCATTTTTTAGCAGGCAAATCAATTCCCCGAGAGATCAGGCGCGTGTGAAAGGGTAAACATAAAAACGTGCAAAGGTTGGACACATGTATAAGCCAATCAAAAGTTCCGCGCGAAATTCGATCATTTTAGAGGACCGATTAAACCGTGACGTTTCAGTCGTTTTAATCGTTCCCGATGCATTACCGAGTAAAAATACCGGTTAAGTACTCACCTCATGTCGAGTGTGCC